GAAACTTTCACTGAGTACTTTGAGGGAAGTTTTTTATTTTAAATGGCTTATTTGAAGTACAATTTACATACCATAAAAATCTATCCCTTGTAAGTATACAATTCAATTTTGTTTTTTCTTAGTAAATTTATAGAGTTGTGCAGCCAGCACCACAATTCAGTTTTAAAACATTTTCAATTTCTCCCCAAATGCCCTTGCGTCTGTTTGTAGTTAATCCTTGCTTCCAGTGCCAGCCCTGGACAACCTATAGGCAGATACTCCTCAACTTATGATGGCCTTATGTCCCGATAAGTCCATTGTAAAGTCGAAAAATTGTAAGTCAAACCATCATTAAGTTGGGTACCATCTCTATTTACCTTTTCTGAACATTTCATGGAATCATACAGTGTGTGCGTTTTTTTTTTTTAGGTCTGGTTTCTTTCGTTTAACATAATATTTTCAAGGTTTCATCCATGTTATAGCATGTGTCAGTACTTACTCCTTTTTGTTGCCAAATATTATTCTGTTGTATGGACATACCACATTTTATTTATTCCATTCATCTGGTATGCATAAGAACTTGGAGTGACTTTGTTGATTTCTTTTTTTTAAATTAAAACATTCACTGTTATGAAGTACCCCACTTAATTAAAAATGTGTCCCCAATTCATTAACTTGGAATGGAAATTTGATGTGATAAAATGCTATGGAGGCAGCCAGCCCACCATGGTGGAGCCAGCGAGCATTCATGAGAGAGCATTCTGGAAAAGAGTAGGGACTGAGCCAAGCAAATAAAGAGCTGCACTAAAGCAGGGGCCCCTTTCGTTTTGCAGGAATTATGATGGAACTGGGCAAAGCCAAGAAGCAGTGGAAAACCTTAGGATGACATGGTTAAAAATCAGTGCCCCCATAGTATGCCCAGCACATGCTAAAGGGGTGATTTGTGTGCTTGGACAAGTGTGTTCTCCTGAATTCACTAGTCTTAACTGACCTGGATTTGAATTATAAATTATACAAGATCCTCTGAGATGTGTCTCTCACCAACATGTATATCAGGTTCATAACCTGAGTTCCCTGATGGGAGGGACCCTTTTGGTCTCATTCTCCAGCCAGGCATGGTGCTAAGTTCAGGGGCGGCTCAGTTAGCAAGAGAGAAGGCAGTGGACATCAGACCATTCACAGAGGGAGGGGCCAGTGCTCCTCACAAAAGCTCACAGTGAGGAAACACACAGGAAAGCTTCCTGGAGGAGGGGACACTTGAGCTAAGTCTTGAATAGGTACAGGCCCAGGTCAAATGTCGAGGTGAAAAGGGGACATGGGGAGGGTGCAAGGAAGGCAACATAATGAGCTAATTAGGACTAGCATCACCTGGGTTTTTCTGCTATGTTAGGTTAGTTGTGACCTGTGTACCCCTAAGAGGCAGTACTGGTGATGTAACCCAAACGTGGTGGCTGGGTTTGTGCTGTTCATCAGCATTCCATTCCCCCTAGGGGCCAAGTTTTATCTAGAGCTGGCCTGCCAGTTACTGGCCTGTGCACTGGACGGAGATTACTGGGTTGATTGTTGCATTTGTAGGCTATTCTTTTAAAGGTAGAGGCTTTGACTAATTATCGAGAACTCTAAACCCAGCCCATGGTTTTGTTTTGTTTTTTCTCCCCCTCTGACATAGGGCCCTGGTCCAGGTCCATTTTGCCATGATATGGCTTAGATGTTTGGCCCCTCCAAATCTCATGTTGAAATTCGATCCCTGGTGTTGAATGTGGGGCCTGGTGGGAGGTGTTTGGATCATGAGGGATCCACTTCATGAATGGCCTGGTGCCCTGCCTAGAATAGAGCGAGTTCTTGCTTTGTTAGTTCAGTGAGAACTGCCTTCTCCTCTTGCTACGTGTGTTTAATAGAGCCTGGCCCCCCCTCCTCCCTGTCTTGGTCCCACTCTCGCCACGTGACACACCTGCTCCCTCTTCGCCTTCCACCTTGTTTGGAAGCTCCCTGAAATCCTCCCCAGAGGCAGATGCTGGCGCCATGCTTCTTGTACAGCTTGCAGAACCATGAGCCAAATAAACTTCTTTTCTTTATAAATTGCCCAACCTTGGGTATTTTTTCTATAGCAGTGTAAAGTGGACTAGTACATGCTGTATGCCACCATTTTGGTTGCCGTGGTATTTAGAGAGTTTTGGTGGTTGTCCCAGCTTTTGGGAAGCCCTTAAACATGTGCCTATGTGCACAGACTAGCATATGAACATTTAATATTTAAGATTGATGTCTGCCCATAATAGAGGGTTGTTTCAATATGGGGGAGCATTGTGGGACATATGGTTCAAGCTTAATCACCCATTTACTTACCCACTGGAAAGGCATTTGTGGAGCTCACACTATGTGCCAGGTACCAAGCTAGGTGCAGGGGATCTAGGAAAGACAAGATAGAAGATGGAAACCAAATAGTGTAGTTGATGAGAAGTATTAGGTCTGGGATGCCAAACAGGCTTCCTTTTGTGGAGGGCCAACTTTGATCATTTGGCAGTGGAAGCCTAGAATGCTGGGATGGGTTAGTGATGTCTGTCACTGGCACAGAATACAGTGTACAGACACGAGTGCTGTGTATTTGCTGATGCTGTGTTAGGTTTGTCTGGTGTAGACAGAATAGTGAGTAAAGATTGGGCATGGGAATGAGAGTACTTTTATCTTAGAATAAAGGATCTTTGTCTTTGTGGTATGGGGTATAGGAGAAATTACATTGGATCAGCATGGTGTGGGTGGGGAGGAATACAGATGTTGCTGCTTATTATGCACTGTTTTGGGGAGGTCACTTACGTGTCTTTAAGCCTCATCTTCTTCCGGTATAAAACAGAGATAATAATACCTGCCTTACCCATATTGTAATGTTGATGGGAGGAGTGAGTGAAATAATGGGTTTGAAAATATTTTACCACCCACAGAGTGATAAACACCTAGATTATTGTTACTTCAGGTGCAGTGTTGGGTGGAACAGCAAATGCCTGCAGTTAGGCAAGGTTGAGCTGCATGGTGGTGGCCACAGGCCTTTGCACTGGGCCTGTCTAGCCTGCTATCTTTGGCAAAGCAAGGTCATAATTCCAAGGCTGCCTGCATTCAGGTCACAGAATCTAAGCCTGTCCCTGTCCCATCTCCACCTACCACCTCATCCATCCTGTCTTATTTTCTTCAAAGTTCTCATTAACTAAAATGGTCTTGTTAGCTTATTTGTGTACCTTTCTCTGCTAGAACCATGCAAATGTGGTAAGGCAGAGACCTTGCATCCCTCACTCCCACCTTTGTATCCTCTGAGCTTAGAACAGTGCCTGGCACGTGGGAGAGGTTCAGGATTTCTTAACATTTGTTGCATGAATGAATGGAAAGGACTATAAAGTCCACAGACACAATTGGGCAGGGGCCCAGGAGCCCTGGATTGCTAAGTATTGAGCATAGTTGCTGTGACCTCATCTCTTTGTAGACATGTTCCTGAAACTCCCATTTCTCTGGTTATTGAGAAACAATTCAATTAAATGCACAGTAATTGTAACTTAATTGAAAATTCCATCAACTCTGGATCTGAGTTCACAATGTAATCTCTTATAACAAAATAAGAACAAGAATCAGAATCGATATTATTTTTTTAGTGCGTGTAATAGGCCATGAAATTACACAATGTTTCCAATTTAGCAGGCTGGTGAATTCAGTCTCTGAAAATAAAATCTTGTTCCTTAAACTACATGTAATATGAATTAGAATTAAAACTTGTGAATTGGAGGCCAGGCATGGTGGCTCACACCTGTTAATTCTAGCAACTCTAGGAGGGTGAGGTGGGAGGATCGTTTGAGCTTAGGAGTTCAAGACCAACTTGAGTGAGAGTGAGACCTCATCTCTGCTAAAGATGTTACCGGAAGTTTGGTATTTGTCCCCAAGGTGAGGTCAAATCACTGAGAATGAAGAACAAGGACAAATGGTTGAAGGAAAAGGAAAGAGAAGTTTATTAATTTGCTCACAAATGAGGAGGGTGGTAGACTAGCATCTGAAAAAACCTGCCTTTCTGCCTTTAAACCAAAATACAGGGCTTTATAAGGGGGGTTTTTAGAGGTTGGGCATGGGTTTTTGTGACCAGTGTAACATGTCATGGCTTTGGGCTATTGTTGTTTAACTGTAATTGGTGGTAAACTTTACCTCTAGTGAAGATGATCTCCTGACCTCTGGACAATTCTTTTGAACCATCTCCTGTGGTTTAAGATACTAGAAAACAGAGGGAGAAGGGGGTGCCACAAAAAAAAAAAAAGAAAGAAAGAAAGTAAAAGATACTAGAAAACACAGAACAAAACATTTTTCTGCCCCTTTGATTAATGGCCTCCAGCAGGAATGCAGGTTGCAGGTTTTAATTCCCAAAAAGGGTGTGGGGGGGTGTTTTAAAGAGACAACTCATAATACATTTTATAATTTTTCAGACCTTTATCTCTGTTAAAAAATAGAAAAAAATTAGCTGGGTGTGTGGTGGCACAGCCTGTAGTCCCAGCTACTCAGGAGGCTGAGGCCAGGATCTCTTGAGCCAGGAGTTAGAGGTTGCTGTGAGCTATGATGATGCCACTGCACTCTAGCCAGGGCGACAGAGTGAGAAGAAAAACAAAAGAAAAGAAAAACTTGTGAATTGGATATAATCAACACCCAACTGCTCCCCACACCAAAGGGATTGGTTTTTAAATTTAACCCCCGCCCCTCTGGCTGGCACCAGTTCCCTTTCCTCTTGTTCCTTGTGAATTGTTACCATGCCTTCACCGGTCGGATGAATATGACGAGACTGTGCGGGGCATCCCTGATTATGCGAAATGAACAGAAATGCGGCGAGGCCTGTGGGGCGTCTCAGGTCAGTTACCAAGCCTGTAAATCCAAATGTCTCCTGTCCACCTTCACGCCGTGGTTTACCTCTGCCGGCTCGCTCCCTCCCTGGAGATGCTGGAGCTGCCCTGGTTGCTACTCCCTTCCCCAGGTGGACTGATGAGTCATTGTTTCTCTTGCAGGGTAACCTGTCTGTGTGCCCAGTTCGAAGCCGTCCTGCAGCATGGCTTGAAGAGGAGCCGAGGATTAGCTCTCACCGCGGCGGCGATCAAACAGGCGGCAGGCTTCCCCAGCAAAACCGAAACAGGTACCGCTTGGCCTGGCTGTGGCTTGGAGGAGCTTGTCTTCTCTTTTGCCCTCTCTCTTTACTTTTGTTTATTTTTAAATAGTGGGCAAGGCAGTCATTCTGTGGGACTAGGGTGGGTATGCAGAAATCCCTGTCTTATTTGTAGTCAAAAAAATAAGGGTGTTGGCCAGGTACAATGCCTCACGCCTGTAATCCTAGCACTCTGGGAGGCCGAGGCAGGAGGATTGCTTGAACTCAGGAGTTGGAGGTTGCTGTGAGCTAGGCTGATGCCATGGCACTCCAGTCAGGGCAACAAAGCAAGCCCCTGTCTCAAAAAGAAAAAAGGAAAAAAAAGGGTGTTGTCTGGCATCTTTAAATGAAGTCGTCTTTTGTGTAGAATTCTCAGAGTCACGTGGTACAGTCTGCTCTGGGTTTGGGGGCCTGCAGCCAGGTGCTTATTTCACCAGTGTGGTTTGGCAATTCCCGGGAAATTAATAATCTGGTTTAATTTTATGCGTAAGGATAACGTGGCATTTCGTAATTAAACGTCTTCAACAACAGCAGCAGAAATCCCAGAGGTCTCTGAGCTTAGAGTTCTGCTGTCATCCGTTTAACGTTGGAAAAGCAGTTCCCGAGTGGATGACAGGGATGATGCTGATTAGTAATAATAATAGTTAGCACTTAGTTCTTAGTGCAGAGCTGGGATTTGGTTAGTCTTTGATGTAAATTAACTCACTCAGTTCTCATGACAGCCCTGTGAGTGGTAGGGACGGTCGTTATTGCCACTGTACGGATGAGGAAGCCAGTCAAAATCATTTGCTTTGGATCTGAACCTTGAAGTGTATCATGTCGTGTGAAAAATGGCCTGTGGTCTTCTCCTTCCCCTACGTTTCAAAGGGTAGGTTTTTTCCAGCCCTGCTTGTGGCTGCCACCCCACATCCCTGAATCTTTCATGTCACTGTGATAATGTCAGCCTTATTGCTGAGTAAAATGTGGTGTCTTTTGCTAGTTCTCCTTTCATACCAAAAAGTCAGACCTCATTGTGCTTGGTGGAGGTGTCTGGAAATTCTCTGCTAACTGAATCCTTAGCCTTTCCCTCTCCGTCATGTTGCTGTTTCTTCCTTCTGGACTGCAGTGGCTCGATCATAGCTCACTACAACCTCAGACTCCTGGGCTCAAGGGATCCTCCCACCTTGACCTCTTGAGTAGCTGGGACTACAGGCATATGTTACCATTCCCAACTAATTCTTTTATTTTTTGTAGAGATGGGGCCTTGCTATGTTGCTCAGGTGATGTGGAATTCCCGGCCTCAAGCAATCCTCCCTCCATGGCCTCCCAAAGTGCTGGGATTATAGGCATGAGCCACTGTTCCTGGCCTTTTTAAAAAAATTTAAAAAATTTTTTATTGGTACATAATATTGGTGCAAATTTATGGGGCGCTTATGATATTTTGATACTTGTATAGAATATGTGATGACTTCAACAGGTCTTTGACTCTTGTTGTCCATCTCACCAGTTACTCATTTTCAGTAACAAATGTGGTTCCTGGTGGGGCCCAGGGACAGCTTTGAGAGGGACTCCTGTCACTGTTGAATTTTCTTCTGTGTTCCTGTGCTCCTTCCTTCCTAAAAAGCCAGGGAAGGAGGGAGCCAGTTTTGAGAAAAGCCAACATCAAGGGCTTCGGTGGAAATCACTGCCTTGGCCTCCTTGGATGTCAGCCTCGACTGTCTCCGGGGCTTCCTGTCTCTGGGATGCTGCCCCGAGTCCCTGATGGGGGAGGCTCAGTGAGTGTCATGGGCTGGTTGATGGGCTTTTCAAGGGCATAGCTTTTCCCAGAGAGCCACTAGGCTTCCTGGGTCCTCATATTTTTTCTTCTCCTTTCCATCTTATCTGTCTGGGGGGTGACCTTAGAGGGACTGGTGCAGAGTCAGCCATGCGGCTCTTGGTCTGTGTCCACCCAGCCGAGAGCAGCTGCTGGGCAAGGCAGAGACAACCCTGGCTTTGAAGTCAGACTGCAAGACTAAGTCTCGTATGACTCGGGAAGGTTCCCTCTGAGCCTTCGTTTTTTTTGCACTTGCAAAGGGAGAGTCTCGCCTGTCTTGGGGGGTTGTCAGGAGGATTCAGTGAGAACCTCATTGGAATCTGCTGCTTTAGTTAGAACACCTAATAAATGTTTAACTAGTTATCATCCTCTTCCCAACACCCTTTTAACTTTGAACCTCTTCCCCATCTTGTCCTTGCCAAACCCGCTGACCCTTTGTCCATGAAGAGTGGCTCTTTCTGTTCCCATCCAGACTAGAATTCGTGTCTTCTTGTTACTTGGTTGGCCTCGATAATCAGAGAAGCACCAACATGTTTGCGAGGCATCTCCAGCATTCTAGTTCTTGCCGCTTCTCTGCGTCTTAGCATGACTTCTGCACCTGCTTCGTGAGGAAATGGACGGACGGGCACAGTCTCTGCTGTTTTCGGCTGACCAGCATGTTCTGGGCGGCCCCCTGCCCATGAGAAAGAAGCAGGGAAAAGACCAGACTAGCTTAGCCCTGGAGTGGCCGCCCAGGGCTTCCTTGCTGTCATGGTCAGCAGTGTTAATTAACCATCCATTGGCTGCTGGGCAGTGTTTGGTGGATTAAAACCTCTCTCCTTCTATGGGATGTTTGATTAAATTCCTCACCAGGGAGGGGGGCAGGTGGCTTTTCAATTGCTACGAGTTGGGAAAGATGAGATCAGTGGCTTCTTGTGGCTGTTCTTACAAGCATTGGAATGACACTTGCAGACAGAGTAGAGAAAATGAAATTCAGAGAGAAGGATTGGAGGGACATGAGTGTGACTTGCCCCCTGGCCCCTGCTGGCTGCGGAGCGGGGCACTTTATGTAATGCAGCGTTTGAGAACATTGGCTCTAGGGTCAGGCGACAGGGTTGAAATCCCCACGCAGTGACTTGTCACACACGAGCTCTCTGCGACATCCCCTCTCTGAGCTTTGTTTCCTCACATGTGAAATAAAGAGAATAACAGGACCTGCCTCTCAGGTCGGTGGTGGTGGCTGCAGGAGAAAGTGCCTGCAAAGCCCAGGCCCCTGGTGCCCTGGTACAGAGCTGTGGGGGGCTGGTGTTGGATGATAACATGGCAGCAACTTCCCAGGGTGAGCAATGGGTATTTAGTTTTCAAATGATGAAACTGAGGCTCAGATAAGTTAATAAGTTGCCCAAGTTCCCACAGCTGGTAAAGGCAGAGCTGAGGATTCCAACCCAGGTCAGATTGACGTCCAGCTCCTGCCTCTCCCGAGCACCCCCACCTCTGGCAGCAGGCCAGGGCCCGTTAGCACTCCTCTGCGGCCCACTCCAGCTCAGTTAACTGAATTGAAAGTGACGGGGGATAAATAACGGTGAATTAATTCACAAGGCTGTTGCATTAGCTCTGTTTACATTTGAGGAGCACTACCTTTGGAAGAGAGAAAAGCTGAACTTCAAAGTAATGACTAAACACAAAGCTATGGTTGAAAATCACAATTCAGTAGGTACTACTGAGTGTCCACCAGTGGCATCACTGCATTTGGTCTTGGGGGTCAGGGTGTGTGGAGGAGGATTGAGTTTGGAAACTGGTGCCCTTCTGCAGTGTGCTTAAAATTATTTTAAAAAGTTGCCAACATTTAAAAATTGTGAGATTTCCTGTTGAAATATGGATTTCTAGCTTAAACTGCATAGCCTGTGACGCTGGGCCCACATTTGCACTGGTGACAGGCTGGGGTGGACCACCACTGCCCTCTGTAGATGGGGCCAAGGTCTTCTGGTTCACCACAGTCTCCACCTGTTCTGTTGCCCTTCACACTTGGGATAGGTGTGGGTCGCCCTTTATTGTTACGCTGTGCTGATGTTTTCCTTGTTAGAATCAAGAGGAAAATGCTTCTCATTCCCACATCTTGATATTTTACTTTGGCCCTTTTGAGATTCTGGTCCGGGATAAAGGCAATAATCTTTTGGACATGTTAAGTTTGTGACAGCTCACATCATGGAGTGCCATTGTCACCTTTCCTGTGGTGCTGAATCAGGGCCATGATATATTTTTTTAACCTAAACTTTGATAACTGTGTAGAGGCAAATAAATGCATAAGTCCTAAGTGTCCAGGTCAGCGTATGGTCACTACTTATCAATCCACTGCTGTCACACTAGGACGAGGGTCAAGGGCTAGAACAATACCAGTGCCCCAGAAGCCACCTCCAACCGTGTCCTCTTCCAGGTACTTTGCCCACCTCCTCCCCAGAGGTAACCCCTGCTCTGACTTCTCACACCTCGGATCAGTTCTGCCTGATTCTGAATATAATTTAACATGTTCTCTTTTGTGTCTAGTTTCTTTCACTCATCATTGTTTTGTGAGACTCTGCTACGTTTTTGGCATACCAGGAGCTCATTCGCCTGCATTGCTGTTTAGGTTTTACAGCGTATTTATCTGCTTTGCTACTGATAGCATTTGGGTCATTGCCACTTTGGGGCTATTATAAATCGTGCTGCTATGACTGTTCTCATGTGTGCGTTTTGGTGAATGTGTATATATATGCGTTTCAGTTGGGTCTAGGAGTGGAATTAGTCAGAGTCAGTCAGTCTGGTACAGAGCTGTGGCTGCTCCACATCCCTGCCAACACTTGACATTGTCCCCAAGAGTGTACAAGTATTTCTTTGTGGTTTCAGTTGTCATTTCCTGATGAGCAATGCTGTTGATCCCCTTCTTGTATGCTTATTGGCCGGTCAGATGTCCTCTTTAGTGAAGTGGCTGTTCAAATCTTTTGCCTATTGTTAACTGGGTTGCTATCTTTTGCTTACTGATTTGTGGGAGTTCTTTATATATTTCTAGATACAAGTACCTCCTAGGATACATGCCCTGCAAACATCTTTTCCCACTCTATAGTTTACCTTTCACTCTCTTAATGATATCTTTAAACAGAAGTACTTTGTTTTAATAGCTCAATTTATCTATTATCTATCTTATTGATCCTACTTTTCTGCTTAAGAAATAAATCTTTGCCTA